CCCTTCTTTTACAGATAAACTCCTCATAAGCATTATCTATACTTATTCTCTCCAAATTCTCTCTTGCTATTCTTTTTTTTTAATCAGGCTTTTGTTCCTAACACTCTGCAGAACTATTTTTGTCAGGATCGGTGACTTCCTGTTCTTAAAGCAAAGAATTAATTCTTCGTCCTTATTTGACATGGTTGATCACTTCTTCCTCCTTGACACTTTTTCTTTTATTTCCCACTTTTCTGGCTGCTCCTTTTTTGTCTTCATTGTCTCTAAACCCTGTTATAGCCTAGGGGTCAGTCTTGGAACTTCTCATTTTCTTTCTTTTTTTTCTTTATAATTCTTTTCTTTTTTTTTTTTTACTGGAGTATAGCTGATTTACAATGCTGTGTTAGTTTCAGGTGTACAGCAAAGTGAATCAGTTATACATATACATATATCCATTCTTTTATAGATTCTTTTCTCATACAGGTTATTATAGAATATTGAGTAGAGTTCTCTATGCTATACAGTAGGTCCTATTATCTATTTTATATATAGTAGTGGTTATCTATTTTATATATAGTAGTGTGTATATGTTAATCCCAAATTCCTAACTTATCCCTCCCCCCTCCCCTTTCACCTTTGGTAACCATAAGTTTGTTTTTTACATCTGTGACACTACTTCTGTTTTGTAAATAAGTTCATTTGTACCATTTTTTTAGATTCCACATATAAGCGATATCATATGATATTTGTCTTTCTCTGACTTACTTCACTTAGTATCATAATCTCTAGGTCTATCCATGTTGCTGCAAATGGCATTATTTCATTCTTTTTATGGCTGAGTAATATTCCATTGTATATATGTACCACATCTTCTTTATCCATTTCTCTGTTGTTGGACACTTAGGATGCTTCCATGTCTTGGCTACTGTAAAGAGTGCTGCAATGAACATTGGGGTACATGTATATTTTGAATTATGGCTTTCTCCAGATATATGCCCAAGAGTGGGACTGCTGGATCATATGGCATGAACTTCTCATTTTCTATTTACACACATTCCCTGATCTCATCCTGTCTCCTGGCTTTTCAATACCATTTATTTGCTGTCAACTTCCACATTTTATCTCCAGCCCAAAGTTTTCCACCAAATTCTTAGCTTATATACAACTTAATACCTCTACTGGGATATCTAATAGATATCTCAAACTTCATTTTCAAACTTGATCTCATTTTCCCCCCAAATGTCCTCCTTCCAGTCTTGCCCCTCTCAGTCAATGGCAACTGCACTTTTCCAGGTGAGGCCCAAAAGTTTAACAGTCATCACTGACTGCTCTCTTTCTCTCACATTGCACATCCAATCTGTCAGCAAATCTCATTGGCTGTACTTTTACAAGAGATCCAGAATGCAACTACTTCTTTCCACTCCCACTGTTACTCTGGTTCAAGCCACAATTAGCCTTTGCCTGAGTTATTACAAGAGCATACTGTCTCCAAGTTTTCTTTATGCCCCCCCTCAGTCTCTTTGCAATGCAGCAGCCAGACTGATCCTGTTAAATATAATTCAGGGCATACAACTACTCTTTTCAAAACCTTCCAGCAGCTTCCAATCTCAGAGTAAAAGCCAGAGTCCTTACAATGGCCTATAAGGCCTACAAGATTGAGCAACCTATTACTTTTTTAACCTCATTTATTACCTTCCCTCTGGCTCTACTCCAGTCACGCTGGCTTCCGTACTGTTCCTTAAAAACCTGAGCATGCTCCTGCTTCAGGGCTTTTGCACTAGCTCTCCAGGAATGCTCCTCTGCTACTCTTCATGACCAGCTCCTTCTGCCTTTATTCAAAAGTCATCTTCTTGGGGCTTCCCTGGTGGCACAGTGGTTAAGAATCTGCCTGCCAATGCAGGGGACACGGGTTCGATCCCTGGTCTGGGAAGATCCCACATGCCGTGGAGCAACTAAGCCCGTGCACCACAACTACTGAGCCTGCGCTCTAGAGCCCGCGAGCCACAACTACTGAGCCCGCGCACCACAACTAATGAAGCCCACGCACCTAGAGCCCATGCTCCATAACAAGAGAAGCCACCGCAATAAGCCCACACACCGCAACTAGAGAAAGCCTGTGTGCAGCAACGAAGACCCAACACAGCCAAAAATAAAAATAAATAAAATAAATTAATTTTTTTTAAAAAGTCATCTTCTCAACAAGGCCATTTCTTTATACTATTTAAAACTGTAAAACCCTCCACAACACTTCCTATTCCCTTTATCTGCTTTATTTTCTGTGGCCATTAACATACTATACAGTTATTTATCTGATTTATTATCTTTCTTCCACCCACTCTCCCACTCCAGAATGTAAAACTCCATGAATTCAGAGGTCCTCAATAGATGTTTATTAAATAAATGAATGAAAAGGGTGAACCGTTTAATACATATCATGGCAGGAAATGCAGCGTGTGGGTGCCTGTATTCTGCTACTAACAATTGACAAATACAGTATTCATCTGGACCTGAAAATACTTTAGATTCACTTGGGGTTGACACTATTCACTTTAAGTTTTTTTCTTTTCTTTCCTGTATACAGTGTTTTGTGTATTTATTTATATTTTACTTTACTTTTTCATGGAGTTCTTATTTTTTACATTTAATTGATATGCAACACTATAAAAATAATTTTTGTTTCAATGTTTGGTTGATACATTTGTTTTAAGGGTGTGCCCCATGGGAGGGTTATGCTAAATTATTAAGATCAGGACAGAGCCATAAAAAGCATTAGAATTTCATTCTAATTCTCTGAAAGTCTCAAACGCTTAAAAATGAGTCACTACCTATTTATTTATAACTTAATTTATTTCTATAAACATTTTAATTCTATATTACTATTGGAAAAAATGATAAAATAGGTTCATTATAAGAAGGTGCAAGCATTATTTGAGAATTGCAAATGTCGCTTATAACACTGGAGAGTCTGTTAAAATAAAAAAGCTCAGGGACTTCCCCGGTGATCCAGTGGTAAAGAATCCGTCTTCCAATGCAGGGGGCATGTGTTCGACGCCTGGTAGGGGAACTAAGATCCCACACACTGCGGGGCAACTAAGCCCGCGTGCCACAACTACTGAGCTCATGTGCCTCAACGAGAGAGCTTGTGTGCTACAAACTGCAGAGCCCATGCCCTGGAGCATGCGTGCCACAACTAGAGAGAAACCTGCGGGCCACAATGAAGAGCCTGCGCCACAATGAAAGATACTGCGTACCTCAACAAAGATCCCGCATGCTGCAACTAACACCCAACGCAGCCAAAAAAAAATAAATTAAATAAATATTTTTTTAAAAAGTAAGAAAGCTCAATTACTCCTGGACATTGCCAGTTTATATTCTGTATTTCTTCAAAAAGTCCCTGGTATCTACCCATTTTAATGTTCTTTTCTCATAGTTCTACTATTTTCATAGCTAATAAAGAAAAATGGAAAAGATATGTCCAGGGAAATATTTACACTCACATGCTGACATAAAAATAACTCAATGCCTATAGCTACCATATGTTAGGTATAATGCTAAACCCACCAGGAAGCAAAGGGTCCACTGCTTACAGTGTGTAGCTGTATTACCCAGGCAGTTTATCTCATCTTTCTAGAACTTAGATTCCCTATTAAATGGGACTACAGTGTCTACCTCATAGGATTATTGTGATAATTAAAACAATATAATGATTGTAAAGCAATGGCATGATACCAGGTATACAGGTAAACACTTGACAAATGTTAAGTGATATATAAGATAGGTATTGGTATTTTAGTTAAGGTTCTTTTAGTTTCAAATAACAAGGGTTAACTCAAGCTAGATTTCAAGTATTTAATATATACTTACTGAGCACTTACTATGTGCTTTCCTATGTGCCAGGCACTAGGCTAAGAACTGGTAATAAACAAGGGGAAATTTATAACACAGATGTGGGATGGCACTTAGAACCTGAAGGCAGACTTTCAGATGAACTTCATTCAGAAAGAAATGGAACTGGGAATTGCAAAGTTGCTGAAAACCTAGGAAATATTCTCTGCCTTGCTACATAGAGTTGACTCTTGAACAACACAGGGATTAGGGGCACTGACCCCCTCATAGTCAAAAATCCACCTATAACTTAACAGTTGGACTTCCATATCTGCAGTTCCACATCTGCAGATTCAACCAACCACGGATCGTGTAATACCATAGTATGAACTTACGGAAAAAAATCTGCATATAAGTGGACCTGCTTCTAACCTGTGCTGTTCAAAACAAAAAAATCAAAACAAAAAACAAACACCTGTGTTGTTCAAGGGTTAACTGTACTTCTCTTTGCAGACTGGTTTCTATTTTCTTCTTAGTAGATAAAGAAGTTTTTTTTCTGCAATAAAGTTTAGATAGTGGATTGAAGATAGCCACCCATGTGCTACCAAGTTCATATGATACTATTCCAGCCTTATGGAAAGACTGCTACTATTTTCTCTTCCTTTCATTTTTTTACCTTAATTCCAAAGTCCTGACAGGGATCAAGTAAGTGTCCATCCTTGTTTAAACATGGGGACAATTAATGGGGTCACTGTAAGTTGAACAAATATTCCAAATGGCATCTACAGCAAGTATTATCCACAATTTATGAAAGAGGAAGCTAAGACTGAGAGGTATGAATTACTTTCCCACGTTCATGTGGGTAGAGTGCCAGAAACAGAATTCAGATCCTCAGGTTGTATAAGTGCAGGGCCAGCATATCAAAGTGAATGCCTTCTTCAATTCTGCATCTAAGAAACTTTGCTTGCCTCACCCTAGTCCCAGCTCTGCTAATGCTTCATAGTTCTTTTCACTATGTTCCCTTACTAAAATGTAGCACCTTCACAACTTTCAAAGAAATGCAAAGTTTAAAAAAGGTTTCATGGATTCAGATTGTAAAAGTTTTTGCAAAGAACATGAAATAATGTTATGTTCTTATTGATTTTGTGTATAAACTATTTGCCTTCCAAAAGACACTACTAAAAGCAGAAACTTACCTTCCCATTCTGTTGGGATATCCCCTACTTCATAGTCTATTTCTCTTTTATTTGCTGATTCTACAATTCTTTTCTCTCGAATAGTCTGTCCTGTAAGATAAAGTGATTATTACATTTTTAAATGAACCCATGACACAGTAGTTACTACACGAAATATTTTCTCTTTAGATATTACACACCTCCTCCTATGATAAGAGAATTAACAGGGAAAAGAATAGATTCCATTTAGAATTAGGTATATTAGAAAAAGCAGTTTCTAAACTACTTCAGAAATTTTAAATTTCCTACATAGTATGCAAAATTAATTTTGGTAGAATAAGTCTAGATTCTGTGTACAAAAAAAGAGAAACCAATTAATTTGCAGGCCAATAAAAAACATTTTAATAAACAACAGAATGTTTAACTCCTTCAAACTCTGCAGGTATATATATCAGAGGTACCAGTGGCTGCTGCTACTGCCTAAGGGAATCAACATTCATGGCCCCACTATGGAAAATAATATAGAGGTTCCTTAAAAAACTAAAAACAGAGTTATCATACGACCCAGCAATCCCACTCCTGGGCATATATCCAGAAAAGATGAAAACTCTAATTTGAAAAGATACATATACTACAATGTTCACAGCAGCACTATTTACAATAGCCAAATATGGAAGTAACCTAAGCGTCCATCTACAGATGAATGGATAAAGGAGAGGTGGTATATATATATATATATACACACACACTATGGAATATTACTTGGCCACAAAAAAAGAATGAAATATTGCCTTTTGCAGCAACTTGGATGGACCTAGAGATTATCATACTAAGTGAAATAAGTCAGAAAGAGAAAGACAAATACCATATGATATCACTAATTTGTGGAATCTAAAAACTAATACAAATGAACTTATTTTCAAAACAGAAAGACTCACAGACATAGAAAACAAACTTATGGTTACCAAAGGGGAAAGGGAGGAAAAGGAAGGATTAATTAGGAATATGGGATTAATAGGTACAAACTACTATACATAAAATAGATAAGCAACAAGGATTTACTGTATAGCACAGGGAACTATATTCAATATCTTATGATAAGCTATAATGGAAAACAATCTGAAAAGTATATATATATATACATATATACATATATATATATATAAAACTGAAACACTTTGCTGTACACCTGAAACTAACACAATATTGTAAAACAACTATATATCAATTAGAAAAAAGAGCCTTGATTATAACCTTTCAAAGCAGCAGCAGCTTTGTCAAAATGGTGATTTCAAAACATATTACTTTGTCATTGAAACTTTGATCCTGAGGAAACCAGGTAAGTTTCTATTTCCCAACAGTTAAAAAATGTGCCTGCCTACTCCAGGGAATGCAGGCTAAAACTGAGAAGGTATTGGTAGGTAATGATGAGAGGAGAAGCATGGCTTAACAATGGTCAGAACAGTCAGGGAGAGAAATCTGGGCCTTGCAAAATACCACTTTCTCTTCCCACTCCTAGGCCAACCTTACACTATGCCAAATAGACTGGGTCACATAATTCAAGAAATTGACTTTGTTGACTGCAAATCTCTCTCCTAAACTACCTGAAATTCTACATTAAAAAATTCCTTCGGGACTTCCCTGGCAGTCCAGTGATTAAGACTCTGCGCTCCCAATGCAGGGGGCATGGGTTCCATCCCTGGTGTGGAACTAAGATCCCGCATGCCGCAAGGAAGGTACGGCAAAAAAAAATCCTTCAATTGAAGACAAGGAAATTTCTAGGAGTGACTGTGCAGGAGAAAGGGAGACACAAAAGGGTAGCCTAAGAATACTGAGTGGCTAGTTTTATTTCCTCTGCCTTAGTAATAGTAAGTTAAAGGCTAGAATTTCCTAGACAAGCCATTAATGGCTAATAACTCTGAGATGAGCTCAGGGAATGTCTGCATTTTATTATGGACTCATTTAACTGGGCTGATTTAATCCTAATACAGAGGTTTTCCAAGTTTTATAAAGAGGAGTTACCTTTTGCTTATCTTATCCAATAAATACACAGGAGGACAAGGGATTAGTAGTAAAGTCCCCAGGTTGTAGGGACAAGAATTAGGGTAAAAGGAGCCTCTAACAATGACAGCTGCATTACTCTCATAGCAGAGGCTCAACATATACACATATATTTTTACTAAAATGCTATTTATATCCAAATATATAAACACATCATAATAACAAGTTACCATAAATTTAGCATAGACTAAATTTACTAAAGTATGTTTACATTACAATTTTCAAAATGTTTGAAAGAGTCAAAATATCTGTGTCTTCATATATTCCTTATCTAAATACCAGGATGTAAGTATATCTTTTTAGCAATAACAAGTACAGAAAAGAAAATTATCATCTAAAATACGAAATGCTACCAGATGGCCTTCTGAAAGTACATGTGTGTTCTATAAGCTTTTAAGTGTATGTCAATGAAATTTAGTGCATAGGGAGAGAACAGATAGGTCTACCATTTCCAGCAGCACCACTAAATGCATATATAAGTAAGTATATCTATATGTCTGTGACATAAAAATTAACTTTTTATTCCTACCCTCAAGTTTATAAACTTCCTTTGTATCCTAAGAGTTTTAAGAATCAAAATTCATACCTATTTTTGTGTATATGGAAAGACAGGAAGAGTAATTCATGAGTTAGTCACAGATAATTGCTGAAAAAAACCTTTGTTTACAAATAGATGACATCAAAGGTTTATGAAATGCATGTACACATCTTTAGCAATATAAAATAAGGCCATTAATTTATTGAATAAACTCTTGGTAATCAGATATGGCTTTTCCCTCCAAATAAATTGTTTTAAGACTACTCCATTCTGTACAATTTTTATGAATTGGGAATAAAACTTATGCCTCCCACTGAGTAAGAAATTATGCACAAATTGTACACTTGCTCATTCTAATATGCTTTCATACAAGAGTTGTAAAGACAATCCTACTTCTCATAGCAAAATAAATTTCCATCTAGTAAATGGAGCAAATTTAAGTACTTACTCAAGTGTTAAAATTTTAGGGTCTAATTTACATTTAAAATTTAACTTAGGGACTTCCCTGGTGGCCGAGTGGTTAAGAATCCACCTGCTAATGCAGGGGACATGGGTTCGATCCCTGGTCCAGGAAGATCCAACATGCCACAGAGCAACTAAGTCCGTGCACCACAACTACTGAGCCTGCGCTCCAGAGCCCGCGAGCCACAACTACTGAAGCTCGCAAGCCTAGAGCCTGTACTCCTCAACAAGAGAAGCCACCACAAGGAGAAGCCCACGCACTGCAACGAAGAGTAGCCCCTGCTCGCCGCAACTAGAGAAAGCCCGCGCGCAGCAATGAAGACCCAAAGCAGCCAAAGATAAATAAATAAAATAAATTTTAAAAAATTAACTTAATAACAAAAACTTTTAATCTAATATATGTATAGGTTTAATAAGTCCTAATACAATAATAAACAATTGACAGTGGTGTACTCAATGAGTATTAAGTAAAACACCATATTTACATGGTGTTTTACTTAATATTAAACAATATTAGATTTAATTAAAACAGTCAAAATAAAAGTTTGAATTCAAGTAGATCATAATGATCAATGGTATACGGATTTAAAGACTGTGTAAGTAACAGTACAATTTCCCAAACTTAAAAAAATTTAAAGCTACCTGCCATTGAACTAATTGCCCTATGACGATAGCAGGTTTCCTATTCCTTTATTTAAAAAAATATGGGGCTTCCCTGGTGGTGCAGTGGTTGGGAGTCCGCCTGCTGATGCAGGGGACACGGGTTCGTGCCCAGGTCCGGGAGGATCCCACATGCCGCAGAGCAGCTGGGCCCGTGAGCCATCGCTGCTCAGCCTGCGCGTCTGGAGCCTGTGCTCCACAACGGGAGAGGCCACAACAGTGAGAGGCCCGCGTACCGCAAAAAAAAAAAAAAAAAAAGGAATCCATTCAGTTAAAAGAAAAAAAGGCAAGATTCCCTTTCAGGTATCAGGTAGATGATGGGTTTAGGTAAGAGATGGATTTCATCTGTTCTACTGGGTTTCTGGGATAGAGTAAGAACCCTGGACACAGACTCAGGAAAGAGGAGCTAGAGCAGAGTTCTCAACTTCGGTCATTCAAGTGCCAGCTTTGCAATTTTGGTCACACTTTGTAGTATTATATTCCTAATATTTTTCTTTAATTTGGCTTGCTTTTTTCTTCAACATTCACTTTTTACTTTACCTCCCCCCAAAAAACCCCATGAAATCACTGACTAAATACACTAGTTGTATTTTGTGTTCAAACATATAAAATAGATATATCTTAAAAATGTAACAGGCTGTCTTTGTACCTGCTGAAGTCATCTTGTAGACCACATTTCGAAAACCACACTGGTCTATAGAGACAGGCCCAGCAGAACATACAGTGATACAGGGCAAAGGAACCAACATACCAGTAAGAAATTCCTGTGGATAGGAAACAGCTGATGAACATCAAAGTCTTGCTTGGATTGTGTTTACCCTTCATTTCATAAAATCCTACGTTATGTACAATCTTATGTTATGTTTGAAAGAAGAGGGCAGAGATCTTAGAAGTAGGAAGGGAGTGGTACTCGTCTGAGTATATACTTCTCAATAAGTTTGAAAGCATGCTAATGTTCTGTATATTCAAAAAATTAAATCAACATGGATGTGAAAGGGAAAAAAAGAAGGAAATGAAAGCAAACTGCAACAAATAAACCCAACTTTATTTCAGACTAATAACATAACCACACTGAATGGGGAAAGAAAAGAAAGTGGTATGTGCCTATGTACCCTTACTTTCAGGAAGGAAAAGAACTGCAAACACATCCTGAACTGTTTGTAGTATGTTTGTTTTCTGTAGTGGTATGGGCGAGGCAGTTCTGAAACTACTCTAGATATATTATATGATTCAGCAAATGAGTAAATGTGTTAATGTTATTGGAAGCAGGGTTCTCATTGTAGAAGGACATACAGATATGTAACGGGGAAAGGTAAAAAAGTACAGGGGTCAGATTGAAACTGGAGATATCAGTTACTTATGATAAATAAGATAGATAAGTATTTATACA